AGGGGGTCGAGCATCATGCAGCGCGTCACGCCCAGCTTCCGCGAGACTGGGCTTCGCCGGCGCACTCGCTTGCATCGGGGGGCACGCCGCCATCGCACCCCAACGCGCTGCCGATCGATGGACTCCACGGGCGTCTCCCTTTGGCGCCCTCGGGGGGGGGGGCGACCTTCGGCGACCGAGGTAAGGCATGCCACCAGCGTTTCGCGTGCAGCTCCTGCTCCAAGCCCATCGCGCGTCCTGCTCAAAGTTCGGTGACCCAACGGCCGCCCACGACGCCGAGCTCGACCGCCTCATGTGGCGAAGGCAATGGGGTCCCTGATGTAGCCTGGAGGCTGCTGGCAGGCCCCCTCGTCAGAACATGCTCGCACCTCTTGCCGAATGCGCAATTGATCGTCACCTGACAGGTGCGGAAGCTGCCTAGCCTGAGATTGCGACTCGAAACCAATCAACTCGCAGGTCTGGTCCGAGTACCATCGACATCCGGTCTTAAATTTGACCCCTTGAGACTGTCACCTCCATCGGCATCAGATTATAAACCACCTCTGAAAAAGAACGTCACCGCCTTTATACGGCCCCTCCTGATGTCTGAGGATGACGGAGCAGGGGCCGCCATGTTGGGGGCCACACTTTGCTGTGCGCCTGTGCCCGTCGTGCCCGGTCGCAATGCGGTCCCGCTGTCTGGACGTTCTGACCCATCTCAGCCTTCTCAGGGTCAGGCCAGCTCCGCAGCCTCGAGGGCGAAACCAAAGAAGACGCAGTGACTCCACCTCCCTGCAGCAGCGCACGACACCGAGCCTGGTCACGCACGCCCAGGAACCCCAGAGCCTCCGCCTCGCCGTCGATCGTCTTGTCAGCCTTTGGCTGAGTGTTCGCCCCGGCGAGCTGCGACGAGCGCGGGGGCGTGCAGTCGGGGGGGCGGCAAGGCGTGACCCGAGGCCTCTCTCCAACAGTGGCGGCATCGGCGCTGCCGGGCGTGACCTGGCCGCTGGAGCTCCAACGGGCGCGTCACCGCCTCCGGGCAACTCTTGGCCACGCTCCGCTGTAGCATCCTCCTCCTTCCCCTCGCTCCGCAGGCTGCGCTCGGTGTTCGGGCCCGTCTGCTCGGGCGGCAAGATCCTCGCTGGGGCCGTGGACGGCAGCGCCTCGCACTGCGAAGCACCCGTTGTCTGGCCGCAGCTCCCAGCCCCGAACATGCTCCGCCCACCCGTTCGCGATCCGCTCATCGGGGGGCACGTTGCATTTTCCGAGCGCGATTCGATCTCTTCGTACGGCCTGCAGCATGCTACCCAGATGCTGCAGCTTGGTGTGTCTCACGCTCTCAATGTGAGTCGAGCTCGTAAAATTGACAGTCGCCACCGTAAGACACCCTTTGGGAGCCGCCACTGGGAGGGCAGCGAAGTCGAACACCACAATCGGTCCCGCTTGAACGTGGCGCAACTGGCCACGCGTCTGGTTTTAGTTCATGGCGAGGTGGCCGAAGGAGGTCGCCTGCAAGTGCCTCCGAGCTGCTACCGCCGCCGCGCCCCCAAAGTTCTCCACCCTTTGTACCTGCGCGCTGCACTGCCCGTCGCGTTCCACGCGTTGGCGTTGAAGTCGCACAGCATAGCATCAAACCTCTGGCCTGCGGCATGATGCTCGAGCAGGCCTATTACATCAGCATTGAAAGGACGCGCCTCAATCAGCTTTCGAGCCTCAGGCCCCTGAGTCTGTCAGATTGCGCACGTCGAGAGTGTGGATGGAGGCAGGGCCGCCTATGATCCGATTCGATACGATTCGATTCGCCGGCTGGGGCCGCGATTCCAATCCGATGCGATCCGGCTCTGTTCACAGGAATCGGCCATGGCCAGCCGGATGCGGCGCGCGGCAATTCGATGCCGATCCGATTCGGGACGATTCGCTGGCGATTCGATCCGCTCTCGATCCGATCCGACTTCCCGATCCGATGTGGCGCAGACCTGGGAGGCCCCCTCCTCGTTGGGCTGGCTGAGCCCGCGACTCTGCTAGGGGGCCACATGCGAACCCTACCCCTACCCCCCACGATTTCTGAGGCGGGGGGGTGGGGCTCACTTCGCTCGGGGGCTCCCGAACGAAGTGAACCCCACCGCCCCCTCAGAAATCGTGGGGGGTAGGGGTAGGGTTCGCATGTGGCCCCTATCTGCAACCTGGGATCCCCGCAGGAGGCCCCTTGCCTCCTTGGAGGCCCCCGGCGCGGCGGGCCCCCCCAGGGCCAGCGGAGCCGGTAGAGCCCCCCACCGCAAGGAGTGCCGGCGGCGGCGGGGGCCGCAGGGGGCGGGCGTTCCCCGGAGCCCAGCCTGGCCTGAGGCCTCGGGAGCATTGAGACGGGGGTCGATACAGACGGGGGTCGATACATACGGGGGTCAGCCAGGGCGCCAGATCCTGCAGGATCCTGCAAAGGCCCCCTCTGGCTGACCCGGGTTAGGGAGCCGCTCGTGGCCGCGAGGCGGCCGCACATATTGGCTGACCCGGGTTTGCGAGGACCTGCGTTGCAGTTTTTTTTTCCTGCATTGCAGTTTTTGGTTTCCTGCTGACCCGGGTCTGGATTGACCCGGGTCAGAAGGTCCCCGCCTCGCAACCTGCACCCCCCGTCATCGAGAGCAAAAGAACCCCTAACCCTGATGCCACGATGGTGGCGTGGCCTCACTGCGGCCCTCGTCTTTGCATCAGGGGTAAGAGCTCTGGGCGGCTTGGCTTGATGCATCTGCAGAGGAGGCCCCCTGTCGCTTGTGTGTTTGGCCCTCCTGATTTGGTCCCCTCCCTGAGGGTTCGGGGTCCTCTTATGGTTGCTCACCCCGCAGCTCCTGCGGGCGCACTGCCTCGTGGCAGGTCCTCCTCGCTCTGCTTGCGCTGCCTGCGGGCCCGGATGTGCCGTGGGGGCGCGCATCGAGAGGCCACGTGCTGCTCGTCAGGGCATCCCGGGTGTCTTCGCTCCGCGAGCTGCGCGGTGACTTCCCGCGCCGTTGGAGAATCTGGTGCGTTCGGGGTGCTCGGGGTGTCCCCTCAGGTGCGCCTCGCGCGTGGGTTTTCAGGGCTGGTTTTTCTTGTGAGGGTTCTTGCGGCCGCGCCCGCACTGTAGACGCGGTTCGCCTCCTCTCGCATGGTGCGCAAGCTGCCCGCCGTGCTACCAAACTTCTTCTGGACCTCGGAGGCGAAGTCCTCCGTGATGCGCTGCAAGTCATCCAGCTCCCCCCCTGCAGCTCCAGGCCCGACGCATCCAGCAAGTATGCCAGCTCGAACAAGGTCTCCATCTCCGCATCACTCCCCAAGAGCTGGCTGAGGTGGAGCGCAGCCACGGGGTGTGACGGCACCGCTCCTGCTACGGACGGCAGCACACCTCTCTCCTCGTGGACTCGCCTGAGCTGAGGGCGACAGCCGCCTCGTGCTCGCATCTGGCCACCACGTCTGCCGCCGCTCGCACCCTCGCCCTTGCCTCAGCCAAGCACCCCTCGCAGCCCCGCACTTCACCTGGCAGGCAGCAGCCTTGTCGATGGCGTCGCGACCGCGCCGCTCCGCCCCCCGAGCATCTCTGGCACGCCGCCGAGGGGGACGCCACGACCTTGCGCTGGGGCGGCGCCGGCCGCCCTCGAAGGGCAGGAAGGGCCAACAGCCCCTCGCCCTCCAGGCCGGCCTTGTCGAACAGCTCGAGCGATCTCGCCACGGGGGTCGCCCGTCGCCTCCACACCTGGCCCGCCCCCGCCAGTGGCGCCTTCACCCCCTCGGCGGCGGCGCCACGGCTGGCGGACCCACTGTGGCGCGTCATGTTCCACATCATGTTTCTGCTTCTGGCTGGGATCCGACCACGCTTCCGCTGGCTCACGCCAGGGTGCAGGAGGCCCCCCCAGGCTGGATCCGCACTGGAAGCAGTAGGAGATCCGCCGGAAGTTCCATGCGTAACCACAGCCCGAGCACCCGTGATAGTTCTGGCGGCGCGCTTGCCCGCCTCCACCGCCATGCCAAGGCACCATGAACAACACTTGAGAAGATCTGCTCCCCGAGTGAACGGGTGCAGGCGACAACCTGGGGCGGACCAGACTATCGCGAGAAGGCGTCGGGCACAAGGCCCTGGCACTGCCGCGGATCAGCGGTATCCAGTTGGTCCCTTGTGAACCTCAAGCACTTGAGCCAAAATGGCTACGGGGAGGAGGAGGAGGAGAAGGAGGAGGAGGAGGAGAAGAAGAAGAAGGAGGAGGAGGGGGATATAATGGGAGGAGGAGGAGGAGGAGGAGGAGGAGGAGGAGGAGGAGGAGGAGGAGGAGGAGGAGGAGGAGGAGGAGGAGGAGGAGGAGGAGGAGGAGGAGAGGGAGGAGGAGGAGGAGGAGAGGAGGAGAGGAGGAGGAGGAGGAGGAGGAGGAGGAGGAGGGGGTGGGAGAAGGAGAAGGCATATTCATATCAGCGACACGGGGTGAGCACCAAGAAGACGGGGATCAAGCAGGGTTGGCGGAGTTCGAAGCGGAGGATGAGGATGAGGACTCGTCCGACCCTCGCCAACCCGCACCCTCCCATCCAACCCACAACGAGAGAGGAGGGCGTGGTCGCTCCCGCTTCCCCAATTGTTACTGGGTCCTTCTCCGTCCCCTGTCATAGAGTCCTCGCTCTTTGCTGTCCATCGGCACCTAACCGTCCCTGGGACGAGGGTGGTGATGACGAGGAAGAGGATGAGACTGACGAGCGTAGTCAGGAGGAGGGTGGAAAAGGGTGAAACAGAGGATGAGGAGGTGACGGGGGCGTGGGAGTCGGGGGAGCCAGAGGCGCCGATGGAGGGAGGCAGGGAATGGGGAGGAGGGGGGAGAGTGTCGCAGGCCTAAACTGCAGGACATGGGAGGGGGAGAGAGAGAGAGAGAGAGAGAGAGAGAGAGAGAGAGAGAGAAGCCGTGTCGCGTCGAGCCTGCGTCGCTCGGGCCGCTCGGGCCCGCCGCGGGCCTCCGATGTCGGCGGCGCCAGACCGTCGTGCTGCGCTGGCGGCGGCCCGCGGGGCCACGCAGGCGGTGCACGCGGCTGCAGGCCTGGCGCGGGGCACAGGGGCCGTGAGGCTGCTGCGCACCGCGGAAGGCATCTGCAGGGCCGCGGTGGCGAAGCTCGAGGCCGAGCTTCGTGCTCCCCCCGCGGCCGAGGAGACCCCGCCTCCAGGGGAGAGCCCACCAGCACCAGATGCTGGCCCCGCAGCGGCGGCGCCGCCTGGCGGCGCGAGTCGCCGCCGCCGCGCGCGGAGGGCCAGGCGGGCAGGTGCTGCCGGCGGCCGGGCCGCCGAGGGACCTTCCGAGGTGGAGGCGGAGGAGGAGAGTGACGGGGTGGCGGCCGAGGCGGCGGCGGAGCTGGCGGAGGCGTCTGCACGTGCAGAGGCTGGAGCTGGCGGAGCTTCCGCGGCGGGCAGCGGCGGCGCTGGGGCTGGCG